CTTCGACTTGTCAGATTATTATATGCTGTCTATAAAATTAAAACAGGCTCATTATAGTATCATTGAACGATCGATAAAGCGTAGTAGGCCTGCAGATAAACCTTATATCACTATTTCAACAGTTTCTAACAATTTTACAAAATATTTTGATATATGGTCTGACAGGAAGGAGCATATTAAATTAATCTAGTTTCTGTAAGTTTAATAAGATTATTCTGAGCTGTACCTTACATTTGGTACACTACTATCTGTGATGATACTGTATAACAAACTGTACTGTATATGTACATGTACAATCTCCAACCTCAATTCGTTGAAGTCCCTTCCCTCATTACAGCATACAAAACACTCATATATATGGTAAACCTTCGGTCAGTTTGAACAAAATTAAATAAATATTGTCAATCCTGTTCGAATTACATGAAATTATAGCCGCTAAAATAAAGTGTAGTTTGAACTATCCAAGTCGACATCGGCAAAAATCACAGCAAACAGTCAAGTCATTGACACGGAACAACGACGGCCTTATTGCGATACATATTTGCAAATCTGGAGATGAATAATGGTTTATATATCTTTCTTATATTTACTTACATATTGATAATCAATTATTAAGTTCAATTGCAAAGCAGAGACAAGTATATATAGGCCGCAAAGCAGTAGGGCCTAGATTTTTTCTCGAGTAATGACGAAAGTTCAGTTGTACTGATCAGAATGCGGAGGGTGGATTGAAACTGCAATTACGGATTAATAGTTTGATCGACCACCTGGTCAGATATTTTTGTTTTGGCACAGGAATAGGTCATACATCAATTAAGTTATAAATCAGTGATCGGTGGCCAGGTTGCAATTATATAATCAAATTGTAATTAATATCTGACAATACACACGTCTGTCAGCGATGTGACGGTAACATTCCGCGCTGTGTACTGTTAGGATATTATACATGGTTGGGGCTTAAAGATGTTTGACTGGCGCATGCACATGTTTAAAAGAAAGAAACTCAAATATCGGTGACATGACACTTATTTAAGTACAAATTGTCTGACATTGATGACAACAATGGTCGCACATGAGAACTACCCGTTATTCAGTACGATGCGCAACTAGATCAATTTTAAAGCGAGTTTAAATAGGCTATTATTGCATCGCCGATATAGCCAACCTCGATCAATAATTACATAAGGTCAGTACTCAAATTGTGTGTTCGAACAATCCGAAACATGTGTAAGCAGCATTCGAACTATCACGTAGACAGAAAATTAACTTTTGTTATTTTTCAAAAAGTGTGTTCGAACTATCTGCCTATTCAACTGACCGGAGGTTTACCGTATATGTTAATACATAAATTAATGTGTTATTGTTTGATCACGTACATCGTTTAATGCTAGAACCAATTCAACATTACATCTCTTATAATCTGCATGCTGTACCAGTGTTCTCCCCAGGAATTTTCTGATGCGCTATGGTATCTATTTTTTAACCCTTCCATCGCAGCGCGCGCTGCCAAACTTTTAATTTTTAATTTTAATCTCCAGATTTGACAACGACTTTTGATAACGGAAATTAGTAATCGATAATCGAAATCGAAAAGGGAAACCAATCAATTTCCGATTATAATTTATCATCGGCCCATCACTAGCTGCTTGGCTATTGATTGATTGATAGGTTTTACATCCGCTTCACTACCGAGTAGTTCGGTTATCCAGCAGACGAATGCTTTGCTATCACGATGAAGCTGATTTATACTGCTTGGCTATCATGATGAAGCTGATTTATACTGCTTGGCTATCATGATGAAGCTGATTTATACTGCTTGGCTATCACGATGAAGCTGATTTATACTGCTTGGCTATCACGATATAGCTGATTTATACTGCTTGGCTATCACGATGAAGCTGATTTATACTGCTTGGCTATCACGATGAAGCTGATTTATACTGCTTTGGCTATCACAATTTCGATGAAGCTGATTTATACTGCTTGGTTATCATGATGAAGCGGACTAATTCATGTACACAGTTTACTGCATCGTTCAATATTCATGATCATGAGCTCAGAATATACCTATAGCTGTTACACAACAAACAGACGTACAATTTGGTGTCCCACGTTACCGCAATGTCACGCTGTTTATGTGTAGCAGATACAGGAAGTACTAACTGATGACTAGGTTTAGCTTCAAATTCTGCTGCAACAGTACGTTACAACACCCAAACATTAGCATCCTAATTTACTGTACACACGCTGACCCTTCAACAGTTCAATGGGTCAACATGTCAGGTGATTGGTAACTAATGCATGTTGAATTCATTAAGGCATAAAAGTACTTATTAATCAAACCTCTACATCAAAATATGGATTATTGTAATCTCTCTTGATCTCTACCTCTAACACAGTGGTCAATCACCAGGCAGGGCTCAACCTGGACCTAAAAAATCAATAGCCAAAAAAAGGCTATGTGTGAATTTCAGTAGCCAATTTTTTTTAAACAGTGGCCTTACTTTCTTGGCCTCCAACCGTTATGGATAGGCCCGCCATTAAAATCATTTAATATTTTTTGAAGTGCAATACTATTCAACATGATGTTAAATTAAGGATCACTCTTTTAAATTAAAATTTTGTTATACATCATGTCTATAATTCAATCCATAATATGATTTTTGTTTAATACTTTCAGATTATATGGCTGTAATTGTAAGAAAATACGACTTAAAGGATTCATTTTAAGATATTAAGATTTTAAGTGATCAAGAAAAGTTATTTAGCATTGAAATTATGCAGTTTTTAGAACGGCAAACTGTTCGGAATGCCTTCAATCGTCGCTCATACAATTTATTAGGTGCCAATCAACGACACGGGGATGGCAAAGTTGCGCAACGTGATGTGTTCCCATTTTTTTTCGAAGGGTTGGTCAATACCATTATCACCAGGCTGGTCTTCTCTCTCTACCTCAAAGTGGTTAATCATCAAACTGGTCATCTCTACCTCACAGTGGTCAATCACCAGGCTGCAGGTCATCTTGATCTATCTCACAGTGGTCAATCACTAAGCTGGCCACCTTTCTCTACCTCACAGTGGTCAATCCCCAAGCTGGTCACCTCTTTCCACCTCCCGATGGTCAATCACTAAGCTGGTCACCTTTCTCTATCTCATTGTGGTCAATCACCGGACTGGTCACAGAGACTTTGGTGATCATGTACCTTTATATTATCTCACATTGGCCAAATGTGATAGCTTGACTACATGTTATTTAGTCACGTAGCCACACCAGGGAATGTAAACACTTTAGAACGACAGGTGCACAGTAAGTGGGATAAAGTAGAACAGGTAAATCAGTGACACTCACATCTTTACATCTGGCACATGCATTGCTAGAGCATAAATAATTATAATGGAAAAGTGGAACGGTGTTATTGGCCATTTGAGACTTGGCAGTCCATCTAATAAATATGGTCATTTTTTCACACCACATAGTATTTTTCTTTAAATCTAAAGATGAAACATATCATGTGAAATATATGTACATTTACACGTACATAAGTACAGATTTTGTTTTTAGCCAGTCCTGGTAACAAGGATGAAAATAAACTCATATCAGTAAAGAGATCTGGAAAGAGGAGACGCCTTTATCACCTAACAAATAAATATATTTGTTCCGAATTTTCATTAATAAAAATTGTTGGATTGCCAAAGGCCACACTTCTGTAATACACTGTGTTGAGTTTTATATGATATTATAAATACTGTCAATTACAATTGTTTGAACAGACTGGCTTAACAAATAACTCTCAAAACGGATTTAGAAACATTAAGTTTTTAACAAATTACAAGAGTGTGCAGTATTATTAGATTGTGCAATAATTAAGTCATATTTCTCACTCGCAGTATTATCAGATTGCGCAATAATTAAGTCATATTTCTCACTTGCAGTATTATCAGATTGCGCAATAATTAAGTCATATTTCCCTCAATTTTAAGAAGATAAGGGTAAATGACATTGAATCATTTGTAGGTTTTAACAACAGCTAACTATTCATGCTATATTTCTGAAGAAAAGTCACCTTAACAACTCTTATTCAGCTGTTTTGGTCATTAGAAGTTCAACAAATGATATCAGTTGGTTTTGAGAAGTGGCAACTCAATAAATACATTGTGTAAGATCTTTCTTAAAACATTTTATTTATTTGGAAATTTAAAATCGAATTAAATCTCCCTTGTTTTTTTTGTTTGTCAACATTATTTTATGATCCCTTGTAAATGGTTAACAGTGAACATACATATAGTCCACTATACATTGTATATTAACATGGGCTATATTTAGAACTATCTTGTTTAGACAGTATGAGCTTAAATTGAAATGACCTGAATTCTTAGTATATCTCAATCAGTTCCAGTGTTGATTCCATCATTCGTATGCAGCACTATTAAAATGTGTATTTACATTACTTCCCTTTATAGACACTGATAACAAAAATCAGCATCACATGGTCCAATTGGTCTAACACCAACAATGCCAGGCAAATTTTACATAAGCTTTAAATTGGAAGGGGTGTGGCCATTTATGAAATTATTTCAGTTATTAGACTTGTGAATGATACCTTCCAGATGTATAGTATCTTTACATCAAGGTGTTTTTTTTATATAAAATTGGCTACATTGGGATTTGTAAACAGGCGACATACAACACTGGTGCATTTCAACCGCGTGTGTATTAATAGAACACCATGACTGTGTCAACATAATTACCCATTCTGACACGCATGGAACAATAATATTTCGAAATATTGAGGAAGAGTAGACGAGTTTTCTGGGTATTTAAAGAACCAATTTGTGTTAAGTATACCGCCGATTAATACTTTGTTACCAAGGAAACAACCCGGTTAGACTACTCATAATTGTCTACTTACATAATCCAAAATGTCGCAGTGACAAGTTCGTGTTACTACAGTCGCGTGTAAATATTTGAGACTTATTCAATCCAGCAATCTGAAGCTTACCTGGTAATGTTTGTACTGTCCGATACAGTATTTCTTGAGAATGGTCATAGCGGCCGGTGTATGTTGGTGGGGCGACTCCCCCGACATGAGATTCGTCACATCCTCACCCACATGATCGAGCAGGTAATGTTTCCCACCGGGGTGTCTTTCGACGAAATCAGTTACATCGTACACTTTATCGTCATTAATTATAACAACCTGTCCCTGTTCAGCAAGCACTTTAACCTCCAAATCACTGTAACACCGCATTATCTTAATGTCCCTTCATCTATCGAGTCACTCTCACACGACCACTCCCAAAGGTGAAGGTTGGCAATCAAAAAATGTCAGGTGCGTTCGATTGGATCCATCGACAAAAATTAGAAAGAGTTACCTCCCTTAGACCATGTTCGAACACTCCAAGTGAGTTTCTGATCAAAGTAACAAGACTGGGCGAGATATTATAACTTTCTTCAACTCAAAGACTATTAAGCACTAAAAAAAATACGTTAAGGAGGCAGGAGCTAAACACACAAATAATAATAGCTTGACAAATCCACATGCCCCAACCCCGGGAATATGACGAATTAGGTCCGTGTATATATGCACAGACACCTAATTACAGTCATAGGTTTTTAATAAAGTTATTTTTATACGGTAACGTGATTGTTTTAGTTCGTCGGGTCACGCGTGGTACCGATTATGCTAAGTTTAGCAACGACGCGTGCCATTTTTGTTGATTAAAATCTCAGTCTTAAATAGGTATGAGTCAGGCGATTCTCATTAGCTGATTAAATAATTTTGAATGGAGAAATGCTGAATAACAACGCGATTACGATCAAAATAATATGACATTTAAATAGTTAATCTTTGTTTTCATATGATTTTTTTGTAATCTGATCCAGAAGTATACAAAAAATAATATTTGTAAAAGCATGCTTTTCGAAATTGTTTCGAAATATGTAAGACCAGTCAATCTTTTCGCTCATGCAATACGTCCGCTGTCGTAAGAAGTATATATATGCTATCTCCTTTAAAAATGTTTATCGGGCTATACACATTTTTAGATTATCAGTTATTTCGGGTTTTTCATTTTTCATTGATATGCTGTATCAAATTCAATCCAGTATCCATAGTTACTCCGTCTCGGTTTCATGTCTGTAATGTTTCATATTGTTAAATTCATATGAGGTAAGTATATCTTCATCTTATTTAGATCGCACGCTAAAGTACATATATCGCGATCCCCACTTATTGTTATTGTTCTAAATGTTTGGTGTCGTCAGCAAATAAAGATGCTGCCTAGTAACTGCGATTCATCAGTCATTTATCAAAATAACAAACAGCTTATGTAAAGACCCGGTAAATGAACCCTGCGGAACCTACTTCCAAGGAGATGAGTAATCATTTACAGACACTGGTTGTCGTCTGCTTTGTAGAAATTATAAAGTTGTCTTGGATACTGTCTTGGTTTACTGATGAGTCTATGGTAAGGTCATTTTGTTTTACTGATGAGTCTATGGCGAGTTAATTTTGGTTTACTGATGAGCCTTTGGCGAGTTAATTTTGGTTTACTGATGAGCCTTTGGCGAGTTAATTTTGGTTTACTGATGAGTCTATGGCGAGTTAATTTTGGTTTACCGATAACTCTTTGGTGAGTTAATTTTGGTTTACTGATGAGTCTATGGCGAGTTATTTTTGGTTTACTGATGAGTCTATGGCGAGTTAATTTTGGTTTACCGATAACTCACTGGTGAGTTAATATTGGTTTACTTATGAGTCTTTGGCGCGTTAATTTTGGTTTACTGATGAGCCTTTGGCGAGTTAATTTTGGTTTACTGATGAACCTATGGCGAGTTAATTTTGGTTTACTGATGAGTCTATGGCGAGTTAATTTTGGTTTACCGATAACTCACTGGTGAGTTAATATTGGTTTACTTATGAGTCTTTGGCGCGTTAATTTTGGTTTACTGATGAGTCTATGGCGAGTTAATTTCGGTCTAATGATGAGCATTTGGCGAGTTATTTTTTCTCGTTTACTGATTAGTCTTTGGCGAGTTAACTTTTTTACCCATGAGTCAATGGCGATTTAATTTTTCTCATTCATCTTAGTTTACTGATGAAGTTTTTGTTGACGAGTGACGGTGTCGAAAGCCGTCTGGTAATCCATATAGATACAGACAACAAGGAAGCAGTATTTGTTCATTTGTCCAGTACGTACAGAAACTGAAGTGTAATATATCTGCCCTATATGAAACCGTATCGTTTATTGCTAAGAAGGACATATGGCGTGTTTCGAACTGTGCTTCCAGAAGTTTACACACAACTTATGTTACTCTAACGGTCTGTTCTCTGCATCGCATGTATATATATAAACAGATATGTATATCAATCCAAACATAAAACGTCCTGAAAGAGCGACAACGGATCACGTCCCACTCGTGATCATAGCTTTAAAATGTACATCAACTTTGCTATCACACAGGACGAAAGAAGTCTTCACAAAGAGATCCAGACAGCGACCATTAAACTAATTTAAAGTCTTCATTTTTTAAACTTAACGTTGCGAATTTAAATAAAAACAATAAACATTAGCACTGAAGTGCTTTCTTGCGCCAAAAAGTCTGTCCATCAGCAGTCGACACCTATCACAACAACCCTGATATTCGGAGTAAGCTCGTGAATGCCGAAACAACTGCGACGTGCATGTGGGGGAAGTTTACAGTAGGAAGATCGAAATCGTCAGCTAATAACACACATAGAAGTAAGCCCTCTCAGTTGGTTATGTTGTATGTAAATATCCAGGCTGGTGTAGAATAGTTTGCTGTCAATTTCAGGAGGGTTTTTGCTACCGAACTTTCATATTATTAAAAGACAGCAGATCTGAAACTGAAATTGACGGACATTGCAGTGTTTTTGTTACCAGCCCTGAACAGTTCTTTCATTTTAGCTTCATAATAAACAAAAACAAGCCAAACAGGAGAGAGGTACAGAGTGCTCCCAAAGGAGGCGAACAATCTACTGGAAAAACTTGCCACCTAACTCACCAAAGATATTATCAACCAGAAACTCAATCAGTCAAGCGATTTCATCCCCCATATGTTTCATCTTGACTTTGCGGGTGTTTTTTTTTTACGAAATAGGCAACGGAAAGGTTCGCAACCATATCTTTCTATCGCCCTAATACCACAGAGACCAAAGAGGTTAAGTGAGCAACCCCCTGCTGTCAAAGGGTGACCTCATTTTTCATCAGTATGGACCTTCTAGAGCATGTTTTAGCTAGCCACTCCTCTGGGAAATTCACTGGGTTTTTTTAGGGTCATATACAACCTACCTCGGCAAAAAAAAAGGGAAAAAAGGGGGGGGGGGGTAGGGGTACAGAAAGTGCTATATCATTTATAAATCTTTCTATGAGAAATGCTCGTATAACACGACAACTAAAGCGTTCATTCAGCTTGACATAACGTATGGTTGTGGAAGGGATACCCAAAACATAAGTATATACAGTATCACAGTACGACTGAAAACCTAATATAACGTCACTTAGAATAGCAGTAAGAAGGTCGATCAATGGCTTGGCTGAGTAACTAGCAAAGAGAACGATACAATGTTGTTTATAGTGATTCTTGTGAAATTTTAAAATCCAATACAAACGAGGCAGGTCAATATCCTTACCATGAACCGGTATTCAGAAAGATTGTAATAGAGAAGAGTGATCAGCTGATATTCCGTCATCCGAAAGATAAAGGCATTTGTTCCAACGATCAAGTTATTAGATTCTCTGTATGTCGGCACATCTACATGCTCATCATACAGATCGTTGAATGTGGTTTGAACATCGGGTCCAAGAAACACAGACTTGTGTTTTACTTTCACTTTTGAATTGTCGCTTATTCCCTCTTGAAAGAGAGATGGATCTGAAAGTAAATCTAATTCAACATTAGTCTGCCATAGTCGTCCACAGAATCCATCAGTGTCTTGAAATCATCATTTCACAGGATAGAAGTAGTTTCTCGATACTGAGGACTTTCCATGAGAAACTCTCGTAGTTGTATATGACGTATAATATCTGTATCGACAGTAACTATAAGTGTCCAGCTAGGCCATATCTCTACGTTTAAAAAGGCACGCTGAAGAAGAAAATCTAAGGTCATGTAAATTCTTCTCTGGTACCTTTTTCTTGAACTTAAAAAGAATTGGAACTCATGTGTTTAGGATTTATATAAGAAATGATTGTAGCAATTTTATTTCTGAAGTACGGGTGTATGTTATCTTCGGCGGACTTTTCTGATGTATGGCAGCTATATATACTCTCGTCAGCTTTCAGGAAAAAGTCGAGCTTCCGCAGACTCGTGGCTATCTGTACGAGCAGGCTTAAAAAGTCGAACTTACGACACATCCTCAAAAGATGAAATCTTTAAGCTATTTTCCAAATTTCACCAGGAACAGATTTAGTATATCCCCCTTTTAATATTCGTAATGCAAAGAAAGAAAACAAATACAGTGTAGGTCTAACATGTGGTCACCCAATGGTTTCTCGTGAGCTTCCATGAGGTCTTACAACATAACATTGTATTTGGTTGGACTGTTGTGATGTTGCTATCCGTGGTCACGATAACGTCCCCTTTGAGGAGTGAATAAAGACATGTCATCATTAACCTGACACATGATCTACAGTATCTACACAGTTATTACACCCATCCGTGCTTATGTAAAACAGAACGGTCAGAAAGGTCGAAATATTGACGTAAACGTAGATTTGTTCATGGTTCACACCCCAACAATGACCATTCATTCGGCGTCATAATTGTTCTTTTATGTGACTTAAGTTTATCAAAAGACAGAAAGAACACTCAATACCATGTGCAACGTTGACGGTTTTAGTAATTCAATACTTCAAAGCATCTGGTAGAATTTTCGTTTCATTTGTGTAAGTCCTGTCAGCAATATGTATACAACGTACTGCAGGACTTAGAGCTTTTAGTTCCACATTTAGAAATATTAAAAATTCTGATGTATCTGCAGCGTTGAAAACCTCGATTAAGTCAATCTTGCAAGATTAAAAATTCTTTCAGACTTTAGGAGAAAAAATGAATTATTACATTTCTTTGAGTACAAATAATGAAGAACTTCAGGAATTCCTGTCTACTTCCCCACTCTGGCCAAGTGACTACCTGTTTGCAATGTTAAATACATTTTTGAAACTGATACATAGAGACAGTGTTTTGTTATTACTTGTGTTTTTGTATAATTTTGTCTTGGAATATATTTCATTTGGCTGATAAAACAAGGAATGTAATATAAATATGGACTAAATAAGCAATAAAG